TAGCCTTTGTCCCTTTTCTGTTTAGACTGTAGCTAGATATACCTCTACTAACAACAATGAAGGAGGAGAACATAATTAAAAGAAAAGTGAGTGTGCTCTGGTTTTAACTTGGCCAGAATTCAAAGTGAGGAAGGACAGAGATGGAGATATCACAAAAATGCAGGTATGCAAGTGACAAAACATATCAGAGAGAGACAGTATAGCAAGTGAAAGGCAGGCAAAGAAAAATGAGAATGCCAAGAATAATTTTCCACTCTTACTGTCACATCTAACTAAGATGATGACTGGCTTCTGAGTTTCCAACTGCTGTAGATTGATAACAATTTCTGCTCTAAATGCTAAAGCCAGACTGAATCTCTGCTGATACATAACTTCATGCCAATTCAAGGTTTACACAGGAAAAGCAAAGTAGGGTGGAAGATGTGGGTGGAGAACAGGAGACAGACATCAGTGTGACAGTGGGGGTGGAAAATATGCATAGTTTTTGAGAGATGAGGACACAAGATGAAGTGACGGAGATGGATTCGGTATAGATAGGTAAGTTGAGAATGAGACAGGGCACAGAGAGCAGCTGGATGAGTGAGACAGAGACAACAAGACAAGACAGTGAGGTATAAAGCAAATGCTTGTGGAAAACAAGCTGTTTAAGTTATGCAACCACTGGGCCTACTGTTATCTCTTCAGGGTTAAAAATAGGCTAGCTGCTGAGGCAAAGCGCATTTGAGTAGAGTGTGAACAATAGCCAAGTGGAGCAGAATCCGTCTACACCCCAGACAGTGACACAATCAGAGCATGTGAGCGGAACGGAGCGTGGGCGAGCGGGGGAGCAGGAGGAGGGGGATTGTGGACAGAGCACCGAGCGGCTTTTTTAAAAAGGAGGGAGCGTCGGCCCATGTCCCGCTGCAATTTCACTCCGGTACCGCTCACACCATGAGCCTGAAGCATGCACAAGCCTGACACAATGCATTCTGGGTCAGGCTTATCCAACACTTTTCAGTCAAAAATGGACCATTCCAAGTTAATGATGGAGGTCTTCCACCACCACTATTAAACATGCACATCCACTAGGAAATGTTTGCAGTCCAAGCTATTCTTGTACTTATCACTGGAAACTGAATTTAGTGTGTGCGGCTGTTTTCCACCCCATCAATACAGATTAACGTTCTGCTGCCGGCCACTGATTCTCCAGCTGATCAAGTTAGGTCTGTTGACTGACAGCCACTTTGCCACACAGCAATGGCAATTCAGGCAGCTATTTATTAGGTTTTTCCAGCCTCTTTCTCTGGCCGCCTGTCAGCTCCAAGACCGGGAATTACACTCTGAGACCATTCCACTGAACCTAAACAGGATCTGTCAGCCCCCTTGATGCTGAAAGGTTACACATTTGTCTTTGATTGTGTCCGTCCATCTTTTCAGCCTCTATTATGCAGCTGTCTTTCTGATCTAAAAGAATTTACTACGCATTTGCTTTGTCCTTCGGACCGGAGGACTGGCACTTCAATCTTGCGTCTCTGACAAGCAACCTCATGCTATACCAGAGTACAGAATGAGAAGTAACTGTGGGAAGCAGCATTACCTGACACACAAGCACTGAAGCATTTAATAACTAAACAGCTGACTATTATAAATAATTGTGCACATCTGCCGATGTTGCTTGCTTTTCCTTCTTGTTGGTAGAGAGATTTTATGGCACTAAAAATGGTTCTTTGGTTTTGTAGATTTTTTCCAAGTCAGTGAACAGCTTAAAGGGTTTAAAGCCAATTCAGTTCATTTAACTGACGATTCAATCAAGCTACTAATAATAAGAGAAATTTTACTTTCATGCAATACAGTTAACTGATATACTACTATATATGATGAAGAATTAGCATGCTTTCCAGACAAAGGAATCCACTAAATTAATAGAGATAGAAACACTAACCCGGAATTCGTCAACAACAAACTAAGACATCCAAGAGAAATTTTATATATCCTAGCACAAAATACTGTAATTTTCTTCTGATAAAGTATTTTATCTTTCAAGGGGGAGGCTTCAAGAAGCAGACGTCAGGGCCCGCTTATGTAATCAGTGAGTCATTAGTACTGATCAGCTCACACAGAGGTACTATATAATGGTTATTTTGTAAGATGACAGTACAAATAGAACATTTTACACCTTTAATATACAAGGCCTGTGAATATGGCTAACAAGTCATGTCAAATGCATTATTGATAATCCCAATCATGAGGGTATCTGCTGGCTGTCGGGTTTTGTTATAGATGTCTTTTTGGAGTATCATTTTATATTGCAGCTGCTTTGTGATCGCTCAAAAAGACTCACAAAGGTGTGTGAAGCTGTCATATTTTCTTGAAGCTAAGAGGGTACAAGTGCAGATTTTGGAGGGTGGAAAATATAACAAGATGCAATGAATCAACCTCAAGTACAATAGTGTTTAGTAAAAAAAAATAAAAAAAGGTTGCTTTTGAACTGAATAGACACTTGCACATATCAAATATATAAATATTTCAGGAAAGTGGTCCTAAACTTAAAAATAAGATGGAAAACATGTGACGCAAAGTCCCTTTTAGAGGCATGTTCTTTAAAAAGTGGTGAAGACTGATCAGCTGAGTTATGTTTAAATGCTATTGCCCACAAAAATCCTGAAAAAAGAACATGAAGCCCTTGCAGGACAAAGAATGTAATGTATGTGTATGTGTGAATTTGGGAGCACAAATGGCTGAATGAGCTTTCAGTGTGCTGCAATGCATAGAAAAGCATTACAGAAGCATAAGACCATATATCTGCTGTGCAAAGTCACTGATGCAGGACCAGCGTATAATATCCCATATCCACAACTGAGCAAAAAGAGAGACAAAAATAAAGACGATGTGTTTGCATTAGGCCTATGGAGATATGTGTCTGTCATTTACTGTACTATACTACATATCTCTTACCACAGGGCACGCCTTGTTGAGAGAACGTATAATTCATACTCAGTAGATTTATTCATCTCTCCCCCCTTTTGTTTTTGCTCTAGATTGAACCTTTCAGAACATAAGAGCAGACCAGTAGGTGTGACAGAGATGTTTTGGCAGCACCTGTAATTATTTGGTGATGCTGAGACACAATTCAATTTTATCTCACTCACACTGAAGCCATGGGGCTGAGAAGGCCAGTTAAGACAGAAATAAGCTCTGTCATAACCAGCATCAAATGATGGGGTTTATTAACATTCTGTCAGTCACACAGTCTGAATGCACAAATGAACAGTTAGTCAAAACAACACCTGATGGACACTGCTGATTTACTAAATTTGAAATGGTGACTTAAAGGTAATTAATCAAGTATAGTGATTATTATCCAAAATGAAAATCTATCTTTAAAATGAAAAGCTAATTTTCTCTGATTTAGTTCTGCCTAATAGCGGCATGTAAAGCCATACAGTGCCTTAACCAGTGTTGTTTATGCTACAACAGAGTTTTTAAATTTCCTAGGATTTTAATGTTGTCACCTTGTTTTGCTTCCAACTCCTCCAAACTGAGGACTGGTCTCTTCTCTTCTGGTGCAATGGCCGGAGGGGGTTCCTTGTTAACTATCTCAGCTCCACCCAGTGCAGCTTCCAGCCCGTCCCCCTCCAATAGCTTCAAGCAAATAATGATATGTTGTTATTTACAAGTTATTAAAAATATGCTTTCTGGAACGATTTTTTTATCCATATCAAATCGATTCTAGTTCTATGTACATAGAAAAGATCAAGCTGAACTAGACCTTGTCCTCGTCCGAGTCATCGTCCAATCGAACTCTGTTCTTTTCCAGTGGCAACATGTCATTTTCCTTTGCCTTGATGGCAAAACAGATGGGGGCAAATGAGGCTGTAATGGCAAAAAGAGACAGAAGATTAAACTGTGATTCAGAGAGGAAAAATTATTCACAGCAGTGTCTGTCCCTACCCGGCAGACAGCTGCATAACTTTAGACTGACAAATCCAAATGAAAAATTAACGGGAAGTACCAGGACAAGGAATAAAAGGAAAGGCTGGAGGAAGGTTTAGGAGAGGTGTGGACAAGGAAATAACAGAATGATAGAAAAACAGGAAGAAGAAGAAATGAAAAAGAGGACAAATGAAGAAAATGTAAGAGTGAAAGAATTAATGAAAAGAGAAACAGGCATGCACAGGCTGGACAAGATGCAGAATACAATGTAGGTAGGTGGTGGCCATAAAGAAACTGTTTGCTGTCACACTGATTTCTATTTTGGAATCAAGTGTGTGCCCCAGTAGAGATGAAAGGATAGGCAGTTTACCTCATTCCCTAAAGAAATAACCTGAATATAGGACTTTGAACCTAACATTTACTTGTCCACTACTCCAACAACTGCTAGTTTTCCCTGGCCTGCTTAGTGACTTGTTGCCTGTGTGAATGAATGCTTTCATTTGCATATATGTGCATGTTTTTGGCTCCTGCCAGCACTGTGGTAAGCAGCCTGGTATCTCTGCAAAGCCATTTCCAGCATGATATGACCAAATTAAATTGCTAGCATAAATACCTGGCAGCTGTGAATAAACACCACCACATGACACACACACACACTAGAGTAAATGTATGCATGTATACTCACATAAACACATCTTGACCTATCTCATTTATTCAACACACACAGCACAGGGAGTGAACAGCATTATGTTCTGTGTTACTGCCCTACCTTTAGTCAGCTTGGAGTCCTTGTCAGACTTGTCAGACTGAAGCTTGTCATCATCTATCGTCCCACTCTGTATGAAAGAAGAAAAAAGTATTTAAATGTTTAATTAGTAAACCAGTAGCATTAAAAGCCATGCAATTTCTATGCACCATCTAAGCTTGGTCATATTTGTTTTTACAAGTAATCCACATTATGGTTGAAATACTGAGACTGACAAGAAACAGATGCTGCTGAAAATGAGATACCCCATAAAGCTGGTTGCCTTCATTCTTACATTGTGTGTTTTTATGCAGAGAAAAAAGTACAGTGGCAATATCTGCAAAAATGTTACTTGTTAGGAATGCTTTCAAACAAAACATCCAGAAGAACTGGATATCTGTCTGCCTGTCAGTTGGTTTTAGGGAAAAAAAAACATCCATATTTGTTGGCTTTTTGTATGAATGCTTCTTCTCTGTATAATATAACCAGTGGATGGATCTAAAATGTTGAGTCACTTGCATTGGTGTCAGTGAAACTGTAACTGCTGCAGTTCATTAGTGTAATTACTCATCTGCAGGATTTATCAATGCTTCTTGTTTACACTTGTGAAGATGTCCCCCCCTACTGTGCTGCTAGTGAGGAACTAACTGTGGGGAATGGAAAATTTTGGCTGAATAGTTATTCTTCAGTACCATTATATTCCTACAGTGACAGCGATGGGAGTGCCGAGCAGAGTACAAAAGGTCAGGAGACCATTAAACGAAAGCAGATAACTTTTGAGATGAAAAATTAGATAATACACTCAACCACCGTCACTGCACAGAAATGAATTCTAGCAGAAAAAATGATTAACTTGTATACAACAGTCATCTCTTAATGCATGTGCACATTGTTTCAGACTGGCTGTGCAACCTGTGACTGACAGGTCTCTCCTTCACTCGCACATCAACGTCGACTCCTCTCGCTCTTACTTTTAAACCTTACTGGGGGAAAACAAAACACACACACTGACACTGCACAACACAATGCACAGACACAAAAACTCTGCTCTTTGAATACAAATTGAGGGGAAAAAATAAATCATTTTAAGTAAGAAATAGGCTACATGTACTCATCACAATTTTAGTATGAAAAATTATGGGAAGAAATTAAACAATGAGAAGTACAAAGACTGTAATTTAACAACGTCTTAGTTTTTAGAATGAATTATGCTACCAGTCAAAAGTTTGGATGCACTTTTCCATTTAATTTTATAGAAAAATCTGTCCAAACTTTGGAGTGGTATAGTACATGGGTGTACAATCAGCTGCTAATTTTCATTCTTCCCCCAGTTTCTATTCCCTTTCTAAGATGTAATCATCACAATGTGACCTTCTTTATATAAAATGCAGTGAACATGCATTTTTGCACCAAACTTGGAACATGAAATCTACATGAATATTCATCTTTTCAAAAGAAATCGGTCTATTCTTCTTTAAAAATCAGTATTAACCTTAAATTAAGGAGACTTGGCCATGTAGTAGCAGAATGATTCAAATCATAAATACATGTTTTAGTAGTTGATGAGTGCAGTTTGAAGAGGTGGCAAGCCATTTTTTCATCAAGGAATCAATGCATTTCTTGTCTGGCAGTATAATTAGGTGTTACACAGTTTTAAATACCCCAGTTGGCTTTCTAATATTCCACTGTATGGCCTGTTAATGCTCATGTCAACCAAGTATCTTAACAAAGCCCTTACAGCTAGGCCAGATAACCATAAACCCTCTGTAGTAATATCTGTGGACTAAGTGCTCTTAGCCGCTATCCCATATATAAACTGCTGATGGAATGAGAGCGAAAAGTAAGAGATGAAGCCAGTGCTACAGGAGGAAAAAAAACTAACCTCACGAGGTTCATTTTACCATGTCTGAAGAGGCAAGTTCCTCCTATTCTGCTGTAATTGAACAGTGCTTTCAACAGTCAAAACACTTTACAGAGGCCCTGGAGAAAATAAGCCCTAAAACACTAAAATAAATAAATAAATAAAAAATTTAAAAGAAGAAAAGGGATGAAACTCAATCCAAATCATTCTGTTAGGAATATGCAGGAAATTTAACATGCACACCTTTCAAATGTGTTGTGGTAACATAGAACAGTTTGGAAAACCACTCAACTCTGAATTCAAACAGGAATCAGCATTTCATAGCGAGGCTGCACACACATTTGCAGTGTTGTGCACAGGTTCAGTTGTCTTGGTGAAACTCCATATGAATATTGCCCTTAGTAAATGTATCAGCTGTTCTTCCTGATACAATATCCTTACACATTGGAATTCATATTATGTAATTAATCATTTTATATTCAGAGGCAAGTTGTCAAAATCATACAGGATTGAAGTACTCATTACGCAAAATGGCACATTTAACAATAATGTATAAAATATGATTTAATTATAATAACTGATGCATTATTTTGTTCATTACATTTAATGCTGCAGCTGGTAAATGTGGAGCTAGTTTTAACTAGCATATATGCTTATAATCTGAAACACTGTCAGGTAGCTTGTGAATTTTTCCAGAGATCAATGAAGTCTTTTCATTATACTGTAACGTTTGTATTAATCTGGTTCTGAAAAGGAACTAAATTAAATGTAGTGGAGTAAAAAGGACAATGCTTGCTGCTAAAACGTAGTGAAGTGGAAGGATGAAGTAACACAAAATCAAAATACCCAAGTATAGATACCTCAAAATAGTACCTAAGTACAGTACTTGAGTAAATGAACTTAGGCTCTTTCCACCACCATCAGAAGAGTCTCCAAAAAGAAGGGAGACAAGTCATGTGATGATTTGGACTATTATAAAAAAATTCATGTATCTACTCCAAAAATACTTTGAAGATGTTAGATATTTTATTGATACTTGCCCAAAACAACAGCAGCCGTACACCCAGCTTCTGTCTGCTTTGACTGATTTTAGCTGTTTCTCACTTTTTTCATTAACTATGAAACTATAAGTATATTATTGTATACCGTCCACCTGCTCCTTATTCAGAGTTTTTAAGTGAATTCTCAGACTTTCTGTCTGATTTAGTGCTTAGTACAGGTAAAATAATCATAGTAGGCGACTTTAATATTCATGCAGATGCCGACAATGACAGCCTCAACAATGCATTCTGTTCGTTATTAGACTCAGTTGGCTTCTCTCAAACTGCAAATAAACCCACTCACTGTTTTAATCACACTCTTGATCTTGTTCTGACATATG